CCTAAAAATTGTTCAACAAAATATTTGACTTATTAAATTTTTAGAAAATTAAGTTATTGTGTGTAATTATTTAGAAAAACCATGAATAAAACACATGGTTTATCAAACATTTTTCTACTATTAAGATTTTTTTGAAAGATAAACAAACTGGAAATAATCAAAAATGCGCAATAACCTAAAATCTGTTTTACAAGATATTTTGTTTATTAAATATTTTGAAAGTACAATGATTTGTTTTCGTTGATAGAACGATCCAAAATGTATAATCATTTTTAAAATTCATGAATAAAACAATCAATTGATCAAACATTTTGCAGCTACTATGATTTTTCCTGAAATATAGTCAAAATGAAAACAATCAAATTAAAAATAATTAAACATCGTAAAATCAAGCATAGTGAAACTCGTTGAGTTTCATCAATGTCTAATTTATTCTACGAAATAAATAGAGCAAAACTTTACAACTTGACTACCTATCTATCTTGCATGTTGACTACTGAAATAAGTCAAATTTGTCTAGAAGTTTATTGAAGCTATTCTAAACTCTTTATAAGTTAAGCAGAATAAAAAAATAATCAGGGAATTTTCTATGCTTTTATGTTGTGTGTTAAAATTTCATTGAATCGGTGAAACAGTATTAAAAGCTAACCAAAACCTCTCAGTAAATTGCCCATATAGAAAGTTGCTGGTTTTTTTTTATAATCGTTGTTGAACAGCCGACCCAATTTTATGGGTTTACGACTACTAATGTTCAACTCCGTAGGCTTGCAATTTTGAACCCAATCCAGAAGGCAAGGGAACTTCTTTATCGAGTATTGGGAGAAATTTGCCCTCATGAAGGACTTTTTGATGGAGCTAACCCGCACTTGCGTTACATGGAGAGGAAGACCACGATAACTTCCCAAGGTTAGCCTGACGGAAGGGGACTCCAACCCATGATCCGTCTGTCACTGAGGATATTTCACGTCAGCACTGTGGTCGGCGCAAGCCGTATCCGGAATTCGTATCGACTGGGATTCGAACCCGGTTCGCCGCATTTGAAGGCGAACGCTCTATCCCCTGAGCCATCGCAGCTCTTGTAATTAGATTTATCACTATCCATGTATAAGAGAGCTGCGATGGTTTAGAGGATAGAGCACGCAATGTGAGGACCCAGATTCGAATCCCAGCGGTGGCTGGTTGGTAAAATTCTGATTCCTGCTCACATCGAATACAGTACTGACGTAAACTATCATCAGTGGCAGACGGATCATGAGTGGGAATCCCCTTGTTGTCGGACTAAACGTGGGAGGTTTTCGCAGTTTATCTCTCCATATCACTGAAATGTTTAGAAAATGACTAGATTCATCAAAAAGTCCTCCTGAAAGGCTAGTTTCTCCCACAGTATGATTCGATAGTTCCCTTGTCTTCAAGGTTCAAAAATAAATAATTATTTTATGGATTAAACCATGCACGAAGGTACCATGATAAAATTATCACATATTATACAACAATATTTTACTGATAATTTTACCAAAATTATTACTAAAACGCTTCAGAAAAATTGCCAAGATTTTTGATTTTCTCATGAAGCCAGAAACACAGAAGACAGAAACAACAAACAAATTTACCATATTCTGGTTGTATCAACCATACTTTTACAGAAAGTGTATATTAACGACTTCCCACTAAATATATTATTTTGATTAGCTTTATATTTTCGAATTCAAATTTATCATAAACATTTAGTGATATGAAGTAATTAATTACTCTTTAAAGCTATTGCAACCTATAATAATAAGTCAATAAATAATAGGTCAGTCAATATCAGATGGCATTGCCAGTTTCTTATAAAATCTCTGCAACCAATCAGACCGTCACGACAACTTATCGAACAAATCAATCATAAAACTACAACTTAATTTTAAAACACTATCAAACATTTTTCAACTGAAGTGTTATTTGAGCATATAAGGGTTGACGATTTTCTTCTAAATTGTCTCGTTAAAAGAGTGTGAATGTTTATAGAAGAGAATGTCGCCTTCTTGCAGCTGGATGGGATCTTTCTGTAAACTCATTATTACGCGTCGTTAGTGAGATCAGTTTAGTGACAGGATTGGTGCAAGATTAAGTGACTGCAAATAAATGTGGCACGAAAGGTTGACGGAAAAACGCGATGACGGATCTCACTCCAGTAGTGCTTCTCAACTGATAAATTGCTTTAAGTATTTATAATTCGTTCTTTAGTGCTAAGGGGTAAAAAAGGGGGGAATCAAAAATCTAAAAATCCTAAAAGTAAATATCTCTGAAAAACAAGATAAGATTTTGCGATACAAAATTGTCGTACGTTTTGTTAATTTTTTTGTAAAAATTTATAAGATAATAAATAATAAAAATTAAGTAATAAATAAGTAAGAGTACAATCGTATGTAAATGATATGTAAGAGTTATAAAATATGATAAGATAATAAGTAATAAAAATTAAGTAATAGATATGTAAGAGTACAGTCGTATGTAAATGATATATAAGAGTTATGAAATATGATAAGATAATAAGTAATAAAAATTAAGTAATAAATATGTATGAGTACAGTGGTATGTAAATGATATGTAAGAGTTATAAAATTTGATAAGATAATAAGTAATAAAAATTAAGTAATAAATATGTAAGAGTACAGTCGTATGTAAATGATATGTAAGAGTTATTAAATATGATGAGATAATAAGTAATAGAAATTAAGTAATAAATATGTAACAGTACAGTCGTATGTAAATGATATGTAAGAGTTATAAAATGTGATAAGATAATAAGTAAAAAAAATTAAGTAATAAATATGTAAGAGTACAGTCGTATGTAAATGATATGTAAGAGTTATAAAATATGGTAAGATAATAAGTAATAAAAATTAAGTAATAAATATGTAAGAGTACAGTCGTATGTAAATGATGTGTAAGAGTAATAAAATATGATAAGTAAATGTAATAATGTTGCTTAAGAGGCCTTTCTCCCCTCTGCCGAACTTAATTGTCAGAGGGGTGTAAAGGAGGAGAGAAAATTCTAAATATACTTTTCATCCTCTTAATTTAATTTTAACACGTAAATTGATGGTAGATATTTATTTTATTCGGTAATATCTTTCAATGAATGTGAACAAGGTAATCATTAATCAGAACTTTAGATATTAAGTAAGCGGTAATTTAGATTTTCTTTTAATTTTTTTCTAACAAAATTATGCTAGTACAGTTTTGCAACCAGTAGTTTTTAAAAGGTAGTTAAATACTATACATTTATCTGTATTAAATCTTTGATAAGTATCTTTATTTTTGTTCAATATAATAAATCAAAACCAGTTTTCAGCAGTTTAAGCTGAAAGAATACTAAATTTTTAAAAATCTAAAAACTGACAAATGTGTAGTTTTAAATTACTGATTTTAAGGCACAAGTTTTGACGATAATTTCATAAAAGTTAAAATTTAAGTTCAAGCTTATAAATTATTAAGCTCTATTTCTCCTAATCAAATAAAGCAACCCTTTCATTTTTCAGTTACGATGGATATCTTTTATTTTTCAGTTTCAAGGACGATGACGCAGTCACAAATAGGAAGTGAACTATTCAATGTGGGCCATTCATCGAAGTTGGCATGAATATATCACGCCCGAAGGTCACCAATGTAGGGAAAGAGCATTCAACGCAGTCAACCTTCAGCTATCAAAAGGTACTTCAACATCGAATCGAGTTAGCATGTCTTATATACTAGTGAACTTATGTTCATTAATCGTAGCGGTAATTACGCCACATACTAATAACCGGTAAGTATTGATGTTTTTAATAAAGTTTGTAATATTTAAATTTAAAGGATAATAATATGAAGTTGGAGGATTTAAAATTCCTGATCACAAAAAAAAGACGAGAACAATTAGTTTTTATTACAGTCGGTATTAAAATGTTTCAGCATTAGAATGACATAAATTTAAAAGCTTTGAAATTGAAATGCCGTTTGAACGAATAAAAATAAACATATTTATGTTTGACTAACCCACTGACAGTATATAGTATTTCTTCAGTCTTCTTTCTTTCTGACAGTATATAGTATAGTATATAGTATTTCTTCAATCGATAACATATGTTCACCTGCTTATTTGTTTCTAGTGTAGCGTAACTACCACTACGATTATTTAACATCAATTCATTAGTATATAACACATGTTAACTTGTTTCTAATTTGAGGTATCTTTTGATAGGGTTGACATGGTAGTAAGTATACCCTCCTCTTGTTGGTGACTTCCAGACGTGATATGAGCTTGCCAACATCGATGAATTAGTCCACATTGAACAGTTGACTTGCTCCCAAATTAGCGCTCAAAAATCCGGTGAAGTACATTTAATTCTCCCTACCAATCACAAAAAGAAATAGATTAAGAGAGTAAAAAAAGAAAGAAAATAGAAAGAAGAAAAATACATATATAATGACCGAAAAATAAAGCATTTAACAACTAGTGGTGTTCGTTCATCGCATTCTATCACAGATTATAAAATTTTGGTTGGGGAGCAATGTGGTGTAGCTTCCACTAAGATTATTGGATATCTATTACCTAGTATATAAGACAGGTTAACTTGATTCTATTGTGAGGTACCTTTTGATAAATGAAGGCTGACATCGTCTCGAAAGTATACTTTCCCCACACTAGCACGCCTGTACCTTAAATTGTGAGTTTAGCGAGCTTTTAGGTTATTCAATTTTATGGCTTCGTCTGCTTTTACTTTTTAAAAAAAAATATTTTGTTAAAATGCTGTTTCCATGTCAGCTCACGTTTTAATGTATAATAATGGTTTTTATCAATGAAATATCGTATTTTTGATAATGTTCCCGATCCACATAACGCTGGAAAGAGGTGATTGCTTACAAACCGCCCCCTTGAAATTTTGCAAACTGCTGAAGAAAATACGATCCATACATCCGTATGATCTTCGATGATATGATACAGATCTTCCGTATGATGAAGATCTTCGTTTTTATATTTATAGAGAAGATTTCAGATAAAACATGACATAATTGACTGCATGAAAGAACACCAGTTGGAACACAGACACCGAAAGAGATACCAAACCCATCATTAGAAAGTATATCCTGTAACTGCCGATAATAACAGTCAAGCATCCTTCTGAATGGACGTTTTCCAGTTTATCCATACTACATTCTTTCACAGTTGCACTGCAACAGGAGTAAGGTAAAAAAGGACGTATCACCCAGTTACTCGAATTCCAGTCTCTCGGACCACGAGCACCACAACAAGTGGACATCAATTGAATGTTGTTCAGAACAGCAAACTTAGTCTTACTACTCACACTCGCGTCGTCACCTTTTTCAATGAAATCGGACAGTTCCCGAGAAGCATAGTATTCAATTTCTACCCTCCAAGCGAATGAAACAGCCGACACCATACACTGCAGAACAAAAACAATGACGAACACGTAACTGAAGAGGCAAAGAACAGTCGGCTTGCTGACATCGAAGCAGCTGAATATTGAAAAAATAACAGTCAGGCAGCCGGACAACAGAAATAGGGTATTGGTGGCATCAAGAACATTCAGACTGAGTAGCGTGTTGGTTTCAGAGGAATCTACACCTACATATGTGCCACATGCTATGACGGCTAAGCCTGAGCACAATAGTAAGGCATTCATAATACGGTTTAGTTGTTCATCAGCAGTAATGTATGTGTCACTTCTTCGAAAAATGCGCTTCATCTTCTGTATCGACTGAAATCCCAACAATTTCTACTAAGTTTTAAAAATTTCAAATCAAAATGTAACATAAAACTCGGCAATTGATTCATATATTGACTCAGTAAAAAGGTCGTTCATTCTGAAGCTTTTAAACACAATAATGCATTAGCAAATGAGATGCAAAAGTTTCGTCACCTATTTGTCTAAAATCATATACTTGGTAAATGTTTATAAATGAAAATAGTACAGGGCATATCTTCAATGATACTTATTTGGAGAGATTGAAGCAAGGGCTTTTAACTCTAGTAGGCTATTATGAGAAATTTAGAGAAAGTTAAGTAAAAAAAAACGTCAAACTTATAGAGTTATTTAATATTTTGGTGACTAATGAATGAAACAGACAAAAGAACAGTAATTTAATATGATAATAATTGTAACGAAATAAAATATTGTAGGGATTTGAAAAAAAATCAACAGTACTTGAAAAAAAATTAAGAACACATATTGATTGACACAGTAAAGAGAAATATATAAGAAGTTATACATCAATATGACAGTTCAAATTGAAAACTTGAAAGCAACGTCTCTCATGGGTAAATCGTGGTACTTGCTTATGTCACGATTTGCACTCTCAATTTTTTTTAAAAATTCGAATTGCAAGTAACTAAAAGTTTTTTGAGTTTCAAAAATATCAATATAAATATTAACATTTGCATCTGGCAACATCTGATCTCTTTCTCCGAAGTCCACTCAAGCCCGAGCTTATAGATTGGATAAATAATCATTATTTAAACAAAAAATGTAAAAAATGTAATCTTTCGAGCAGCATTTCAAATTTCTATTCTATAGCTGCATATCTGTAGGCTGCAGTGCGGACCACTACTTACTACAAGTTTAACAGTTAATAATTCTTAAGCCATTTTTTTTAATTCTACACACCATTTTTTATTCAACACACCAATTTTTTTATTCTACACGCCGAATTTCAAGTTATTAAGTTTTATAATTTTTTAAAGCTGTTGCACCGATCTTCGGTAAATTGTATCTCAATTCCGAGACAGCACTTTTTAATATTTACTATGAAGAAAAGCGTGATCAAATAGAAACCATGGCCGCCATGATTATTAAAATTAAAAATATAAATAGGAAAATGTGACTTGAGCAGAACCCTCTCTGTGCTTAGTAGAAATTAGCGTCACCACAATAGCAATATAAATTATATTGAACCAATTGTTCAGTGTAATAGATAATCTGTTAATTTGCGATCGCAACGCTCAAGTACGCCGTCTAGCGGGAGCCTGTAAATATCCGACATTAATTTATCACGTTTTCATTTAGTTCCATCAAAATCATTGATAGAATCAGACGCCANAGCTAAATGAAGAGTGCTATGATTAATGAAGAAGCTATGTTTAATGTCAAAATCAGAATCTTGGCTGATTTCAATGTACTGTTGGATGTTGTCCGCTATTGCTTCTGTGGTTAACTCTAAAAAAACTAAACTCAGTGGCGCGACAGCCCATAGAGGGCCAAGGCCTACTGTGCCCATCTCAGTTTTCTTGACCTTGAGCTCTGGGGTGCAGGTGCAGATGTTTCGGTCAGGTGGTCAGCCGAACGCGGAATCCCCAGTGTTTAGTTCCCAAGCATGCTTGGTACTCATTTATCGACCCACTGAAGGGATGAAAGGCTGAGTGAACCTTGCCCGGCCTGAGGATCGAACCAGGGACCTGTGGCACGACAGCGCGAAGCGCTACCGCTCAACCATCGGGCGTCTTCTGTGGTTAACGTCACGATGTAATCCAACTGCAGTTGAGTTGGACGGCAATTGTAGTTCAAGATGAGCGTTCGATGACGTATACTATCAGACTCACAAATGGACCAATCAGAGGTTAGCGCTGATTTCCAGCTGACGGCGTCCTGTCCTAAGAAACCAGGCCTTAAGATGTAAATAAATTTTCTTGTAACAATGGATAAATAGTCCTTATTTAAACAAAGTATGTAAAAAAAAAATCACAAAAAGAGCACTTGAAATGGCTATATCTTTCGAGCTAATAGGAATTTTAAAAAAAATAGACCTTTCACCATGTCAAATTTCTACTCTATAGTTGCATATCTGTGGGCTGCAGTGCGGACCACTACTTACTACAAGTTTAACAGTTAATAATTCTCAAACTATTATAGAATGCTGGTTTTTTTTATTATTCTACACACCATTTGAATTTCAAGTTATTAAGTTTTATAGTTTTTCAAAACTGTTCCACCGATCTTCGGTAAAATCTCTTCACCGCTATTATTTTGACAACAGCATTACTTTACAGATCACTTCAGATTCAATAGGGTTAAATTTATTCAACCAATCCAAACTGCCCGGTTCACTTAACCTTAGTGTCGTATATCGGTGTAGTATATCATCAAAGTGCAGTATATCGGGTAAATGCATACCGTGCAATGGCAATTAAACTTAAAAAAAAAAACATCAGTGTAGGATACACTGGAAAAATGTATACCGTGCATTTGAAATTAACCTTAAAAAACCTCAGTATATTGTATCTCAATTCCGAGAAAGCACTTTCTAATTTTTCAAAGGAAGAAAAACGTGATCCAATAGAAACCATGGCCGCTATGATTATTAAAATTAAAAATATAAATAGGAAAATGTGACTTGAGCCGAACCCTTTCTTTGTTTAGTAGAAATTAGCGTCACCACAAAAACAACATAAATTTTATTGTACCGACTGTTCAGTGTAACAGAATTTAGAGATACAAAAATAAATATTCCTTATAACTTCTTATTAATTTTATGCCGACGACCACGAAGGAAATCTGGATATCGGTGTGAGGAAACTGGATCCTGCGATTTTTTACAAATAATAATGGAAGAACAAAAATGAAAAACTGTTTTATGCCAACACGTTTTTATATCATGCAAGTTTTTATATCATACAAGCTGAATACCATTTCCTTGTACCGGTCTATAAAAAAGTAATTAATAAAACGGTATTCATCAAAACTATAAAAGCATGCAAAAGGCAATTGGAAGACATTTTCAGACACAATTAATTAAGTTAAAACAATTCAAATTTTTTGTTGTTGCTTATAATTACTTTTTGCCTTTGAGGTAGGTTTACTTTATTAGATTTTATTTCCTAACCGTCATTGAAAAGCCTACCCAATTTTTGAGTTTACGACAACTAAAGCTCAACTCCATAGTCTAGTAATCGTGAATCCAATTCAAAAGGCAAGGGAATTCCTGGATCAAGCATTGGGAGAAATTTGGCTTCGTGGAGCACTTTTCGATGGAACTAACCAGCATTTGCTTTATATGGAGAAGAAAATCACGAAATCATCTAACGGTTAGCCTGATTTCAAGGTGACTCCACCCCATGATCCATTTACTACTGACGATGAGCTGCACTGTGGTCGATACGAGCTGGATGGGGAATTCGCTTCGACCAACTATTGCTGGGATTCGAACCCCGGACACCTCATTAGGGAAGCGAGTGCTCTATCCCCAGAGCCACCACTTCTCTACATTATTAGATGAAGCAAAACGTGTGCCTTTAGAAGTTCATCTCATCAAAAGAACGTAATTCTTACAATTCAATAATAATTTCAGTATTTTTTACAATTCAGTAATAATAACCGTAAAATCACGGAATCTTTTTATTAATTAAATATAAATTTAAAAATTACAGTATAGTATTTTACAGTCAAAATGGATTTTACGGTAAAAACGGATTTTACTGTAAAAATGGATTTTACAGTAAAATATTTTTTGCGGATGACGAACCCGAAATGCAGGTTCTTTATATCGCAATTTGATCTGTTATTTTTTACAGTGCACCTAAACGGTATAACTTCTTAAACCGGTTTCGCACTACTTATTTCAAATGTATCTGAAAATTGAAACAACAAAATTAACTGATACTAATATGAGTATTTTCAATTTAATGTTTGCTCTAAGAAAGGCATTTCTCAAAAAATGACAATTCACAATTTTATTTAATATTAATATTAGAATTTAAACGTATAATGAAAGGAAAATTAAAATAAATTTCGTAACAATTTTAATAAAATCAAGGAAAAATACATTTTTCTACAAATTAAAATAGCCCTTTTCATATACGAAACCGAAAGATTCACGCCTACAACGCACGACAGGAAAATTAAAATTCCTTCTCATCAAGACCATTTGACTGCTGATGACACCTAGTGCTTGCTTGCCCTGGTGTAAGGGTCACTCTAGATCATCTGTTCCCTTTCATTGAACAATAGGACAATCACCGGATAGTGGGGGGAGAAGGAATAGGGAAAGTTTCAGGCAAGACTATTCCATTAATGAGTTTTCCATAGGCCTCCTCCAGTACATTTGTTCTGATACCAGGACTTTGAATTGATCGCAATTACGAGAAGAAGGCGACCATCAGTTGACCATAAGGCTCTTTTTCAGATGACAGTGGTCTAAGTCTGAAATCTCTAAAGCAGTGGATCCGGAGAGAGTTGCGATTAAAAGTTGATGGGATTCCGAGAGTTCGATTTTTTTTTTAAAATGCACTTTAAAAAATTCTGGATCAAATTACGGTAAAAGTACTGACACCCTGAGTACAACATTTGTATAATTCCTTTTACAAATCCATTTTTAGCAATCTATCAAATTCCATACTTACCACAAAATTTTATACTGTAATTTCTACAGTAATATTAATTTCATTACTGTGATTCAGGGATTTATTGTAAATATTACTGTAAAAATTATGGTATATTAGATTTTTTGTTCCGTAAAATTTTACAGTAAATAGAACTGGCATCCAAAGTGCCAATGCTTTTTACCGCACCTTGATCCGGATTTTTTTACAGTGCATTGATGATTTTGAAAATCTATAAGCATATTTCGATGCGATCAATAATGCATAGTATTTTTAATATTGTGGTTATTTTGTAATATATTATTAATTAAGTAAAATGCCACTGAATAAGATAAATTGGAAAATTTAAAGTTTGTTTTTTCTTTTAACAATGCT